AGGATCTTGTTCCTCTGTAGATGCAAGGACTCTAGTTAGAAAGGCTTGAATATTTTTAATTCAGTGTTTTCAGTTAGAGTTTGTCACTACTCTTTGAAGACCTGACAAATGCACAGGTTCTTCTCACTGCCAGAGTTACATTAAAAGTAAAGGCAAAAGTATTAACTGTACACTTATAGTGCACATTTCTTACGGGGTAATTAGTTGCTGTTGGAGCATGCGGGGAAAGACTTGGCGTGAGATTTTCGTCAGAAGGCAAACCATAAAAACTGAATTTAATCTCATTAGAAAGAGGACTGAGAGCATCTTCTGGACAGGCCTGCAAGAAGAGAGCAATGTCAGTGTTGTAGGACTACAAGACTAAAATTAAAATATTTTGTTTACTGACTTGAACATCTGTTGGTTCATTTGATAATTGTGATGTTATTAATAGAATTTACCTCAATAAAAAATGTTACATTTGAACACTTTTTCCCCAAGGTGGCAATAATTGATCCAGACCGCTCTTGTTCTTTCTCACTGAAGTAAGCTCGTTTTTTCGAAGGTTTGCGAGTGGTATCCAATGTTAACATATAATCAATCCTTGCTTGAGCTGGAATAGATCAGAGTTTGACTTAAATGTTACAAATGCACATGCATACATAAAGTAAACTGATGAATGGTTTAGTGATTTAGAAACAGATAAGAATAATAAACCTGCGCGTTGCTCTTTCGTAGACAAGCTGCTCATGGTAAAGCAGACTGTAACTGTGTTCTCCAATGGTTTTGAGCAGTCTACATTCTGAGTAGAGATTTGGTTTGGGCTGAATGACACCTCAGACTTTACCTCTACAATGGGTCTTGATCTGGAAATGGACATAATAGGGAAAGGAGATGATGAACTAGACATGTGAATGACTATTACCTTTGTAATTAATACTAAGCTGACAGCTAATCTTCATTGTAGATGTTCTGATCAAGACTTCACAACTGTGTACACTTTTCTTTGATTTACTCGCACTGCACATTTTATAAACCACTATGTCTACTTGTTTCTATCAATATCTCTGCTACTAAAAGTTTGGGGTCAGTGAGAGATGTTAATTTTCTAAGTAAAGAACATTTTCTCTTATTATATGGCACCAACCAGATATGTTTTAAATGAAATTTAATGATTTAAGGAAGCATTAATTATAAATCTGTAATGCTTTCTAAAGAAGTATCTACAACTGGGATGGACCCTCCTTTGCTTTAAACAGAATGGCCTTAATTGTTAGTTGCATAAATTCAATTAGGTGTTGTAGTCCTGTTCAACCACATCCCAAAGGTGCTATTGGACTGAGATCTGCTGACTGTGGATACCATTGTTGTTAGAGACCAGACTCATCAG